AATTTTTTTTTTTTTTTTTTTTTTTTTTTTTTTTTTTTGTCTTTTTTCCGTGTCCGGCAACGGATCGCAACCCTCAGTGTTGCCCCTGTACCGGACCGGGGACCGGCAACGGGATTGCAAACCTCGGTGTTGCTCCCGCACCTCGCTCAGCCAGTGAGCGGGAGCCGGTCTGTATGTGGGATCCGAACCCTCGGACGGGAGCGCCACCGCGCTTCCCAAGCGACGCACTATCCAGTGCGCCACCGGGCCGGCCCCTAGTTCTCTGTTTTAAAAGGGCTCTGTTCAAATGTGTTTTTAAAAAATCAGTCCTGGGGAAAAGGAGGAGGTAGGGCAGAGTACAGCCAGGAGCCCGGTAGGGCGATGAATAAGTAGTTTTTGAACATTTATAACTATGGAATTATTGCGAGGCAGGAGAGCAGTGAGGCTGCGTTAGTTAGAAAGGTTGTTAATAATAATCAAGAGCAACACGTATATTAGAATTATTACAAAGACATAAGTTATCAATAGTAAGAGTCACATAATATTCTTCATAGTAAGTTATCAGCAGTCAGAACTAACATCTTCTCAGCACAACCTCTGTCAGGCGCCTTGCTAGCTGCGTAACCTGCATTAGCTCATGGACAACTCCCCATCATTAAATGTGGCAGCTGTTATTTCCTCCTTAATCACTGAGAAAAACGGAGGCTCGGAGAAGTGATATAACTGGCCTAAGGCTGTGAAGGTACTGAGATTCAAACACCTGTATATCTGCCTGAAGAAGAATACTAATATTCATTTATACACAGTTGTATGCAATTATGCAGTTTCCATTTTCTTAAATACTTTCTGCTTTTCCAGGAAAAGAAGCATAGACAAGAAAGATGGATGGGCCACTTTATCTAAGACCTGTGGAAGAGGAAGCCATTTGGTACCCAAGGACAATTTTTTGCAAGGAGTAATTGCTTTAATAAAAGTGACTGGGAAGGTCACGATATGACAGTGATGCCTTCTTTCTGATAGGTTTTTAAGCAGATCCTTAAAAGATTGCAAGGGGGCTGGCTGGTTTGCTCAGTTGGTTAGAGCTCAGCCTTGTAACGCCAAGGTCAAGGATTTGGATCCCCATACTGGCCAGCTGCACCCCCCCAAAAAAAAACCCCCCCGAAAAAACTGCCTGCCCTGGCTTCTTGATGAAAAGCTGCGCTGACACTCCAAGCTGGTACTAGGGCAGCAAATGTGTCCAGAGAGCTTCGATTGCAAGAAAGGATACGGGGCAGGTTTTCCCCTGGCCTGCATTCGAGAATGCCAGAGCAGCTGACATTCCTTGAGAAAGTTACTTAGCTATTGCCATGATTTCTTTTCATCTTGTTGTCAGTAGTTTATCCATTCTCTAATAAATGGTGGCATTGATATAGAAATGCTAGAATATTTTTGAGGAAGAATTTCAGTTGACAAGGTTATATATAATATTCCATTTTTCTTTCTTTCTCACTCTAGCTAGTTGACTCACAGATCTATAGTCAGGTACTACTAGATGCTAGGAATAAACACTTTCTAGATCTTAAAAGATAGACTTATAAACCTGCCATTTTCTTGTGCCTCCTTGGGTTAAAGCCTCAACTCACACCTCTGTAAAAAGGAAATACAGTTGTCCCCTCTGTATCTGTGGTGCCACATCTGAGGATTCAACCAAGCATGGATTGAAACTATTCAAAAAATAAAAGATAATACAACAATAAAAAATAATACAAATTCAAAAAAGTACAGCATAACTACATAGCATTTACAATGCATTAGGTATTATAAGTAATCTAGAGAGGATTTAAAGTATATGGGAGGATGTGCATAGGTTATATACAAGTACTGTGCCATTTTATATCAAGGACTTGAGCATCTGCAGTTTTGCTAGCCTAGGGGGTCCTGGAACCAACTCCCCGTGGATACCGAGGGACGACTGTAGCGATGTTTTCACTGTAGAGCGGTGGGGAGGATAAAAATGAGATAATAGGCAAATTCCCTAGCACAGTGCCTAGCACATATTAGGTACTCATGAAATTTACTTTCTATTTCCCTCCCTCCTTTCCTGACTTTAAGGGGATAGCAAACCTCAAAGTCTCATTCATTCTGCATATGGAGTGAGTGAGTGAGCATATTCTGTGGATAAAGTATTGAGATGGATTTATCTAGAGTGCCTTCTGGAAATCACACGTGGGTCCCTCAGTGCATTTCAACATCCTCCCTGAGATGTTTGGTGGCTCAACTGGGTCATACCTTGTGGAGGTGGGCGTGGCTGGGGCTGTCCTAGCTGAGGCCCCAGCTGTGATTGCCCTGGGGATTTTGCTGATTTAGTCTGCTGAGCCTAGAGCAGGGGAAGAGAAAAGAAGCCTGTTGATATCATGACAGCCACTTACATCCTGGGTGGGAGGGCAGGATTTACAAAGATCTTTTATTATTGAGGTAAGACTCACATGGAGTAAAGTGCACAATTCTTAATTAAGTGCATGGCATACTGAAGTTTTACACATGTATGCATTGTTGTAACCACTGTCCAGATCAAGTCATAGAACTTCTCCTGTGGAGAAGGTTGTCCTGTGCTTCCTCCCAGCCAGCAACCCCCTCAAGGATAACCATTATTCTGATGTCTATTATAGATTAGTTTTTGCAGGGAAAGCAGGTTGGTGAGGGGAGAGGGGGAGGTTTTGAGCTAGCACATTCTTTGGAGAATGATCTGGTAATCCATGGTGGGGACTGTGGGAGGCAGGAGCTGTGTGGGAGCTTGACAAGCTTGGGGGATGGGGAAACGGAAGACACAATAGTCCCTATTGACTGGTGCCCTGGGAGCACACAAAAGCGTGTATGTACATGTGCTCCCGCACGCGCGCGCACACACACACCCTGCTCAGACCCAGGAATGGAAGGCATGGAGGGGACAACTGTCACTAATCTCTGCCTACAGATACCTAAAGGCCAGTTGAAACAAGAATTTTCACCCCAGGATGGTGGAGGGGGGAAGCGCCCTGGAGTCTCCTAAAATCACTCAGCAGCAGCAGGCTATAGAAGCTCTCCCATGCCCCACCTCTGTCCACACCACATTCCTTTCTCCCCAAGGTGGGTCCTTCCTGGGAGTATCTCCTTTGAATCCAGGGACTCCCCATTCCCAACCAGCCTGGCATTTCTCATGGCTACAAAGTCTCCTTTGCTTCCCAGGGTCTTACCCAAGGTCTCAGGGGCGAGGGCACTTTGCCCCCTGGCATTGGGAGTTGGCTCATTTTGGACACAACAAGGTCGGCTATCAGCTGTTTGTCCTCTTCCACGTGCTCTCCAATCAGGGGCATGGAGCTGTCCATTACCTGTGGGGAAGAAAGGAGGGCTGATGTGACAATGTCACATGAAGGCAGCGTGGCATTCTCTGGAAGGCAGAGATTGAAGTGTTGATGCTGCAAGCTAAGGAATGCCCCAAATTGGACAAACCACCAGAAGCTAGGAAGACACAAGGAAGGGTTCATCCGTACAGGTTTCATGGAGTGTAGACCTGACAACGAGAGGTTGAGTTTGGACTTCTAGTCTCTAGAACTGTGAGAGAATATACTCCGGTTTTTTAAGCCACCCAGTTTGTGGTACTTTGTTACAGAAGCCCTAGGAAATGAATGTAGACACTTTCTTATCTGTAGCACCTTGCACAGTACCTGCAATGAACAAATTTATGTTGAGTAGAATTATATTGAACTGAAAAGAAAAAAAAAGGAGGGATGGGGGTCCTCCATGTCAGGATAGCCTGGCAGTTGGGCAACACATCCCAGGAGCGCTGGCTCAGGACAGGAGTGACCACTAGATGGTGATGTCGTCCATGCAACCTCCCAGCTCAGTGCCTCCAACTGGGACTGGGCCCTGCTGAGACATCCATTTGCCTTCAGTTCAGCCTAAACCAACTCCTGGATTCAGTTCAATTCAGCCTACATTTGTTGGGCTGCAGCATTGTGACTGAGGGCCGGGAGCCTTTGCTGACCTTTTCTGCACTTTTCTTTGGGGAGCTAGATGGTCTCCACCCCCTCCTTTCCCACCCGGGCCCCCTCCCAGGGTTGGGGCTGGCCTCTTCTCCTTTGGCCAAAGGTCAAGGCTTTCCACGAAGCCAGAACCAGTGAAGGTGGGGGCTCCACGATGACAAAAAATTGACTTGGGCTGGAGTTGACCCCGGGTGCAGAAGGAAGAGGGAAGAGGAAGGGCCTGTTCTCCAGGGCCCTGGCAGGACACAGGTCTGGAATGAAACTTATTCCATAGGGAGCCAGGCTGTTCTCAAAGGAAGCAAAGTGCTTATATGGAAAGGAGGTCTGAGGGATCATATTTGCCCATTCTGCTCTCTTTCAGATGAAGAAACTGTGGCCCAGAGATAGGAAGGGACACAAGGTCACAGAGGCCAACGATCCAGGTGATTCCCCATGCACGGGCAGCGATAGAAGGTCTTGAAGTGGTGTCAGGCCTTGGCAGACAAAATAGCTGGGTTGTTTACCCTCTACTGTAGGAATCCAGCGACCTGTGTTCACCGCCCCCCTCCCCCACACCAAACTCACTGTCTTGTCTCCTCTTTTCCCAAGCTCTGGACTCACCAGTTTCTCTCTCTCCTCCAGGTCCTTATGCAGGTCATTTCCTCTGTCCCCCTCTCTACCCAGCTAATTCCTTCAGGGAACACCTAGCTAGCCCCTTCCTCCAGGAAGCCTTCTCTGATTGCTCAAGCTCTGATGAGCCACCTTGCATCTGTACGCCCACTGTCCTCACTTTGGTTGTCCCATTGGAGGACTTATCCCACAGTGCTGTCATCTCCTGTTTACTGTGTCTCTATAAGCGGACTGTGACCTCAAGGTCAGGGATAGGTCCTGTGTCCTGTTAAACAGGTATGCCTCCAATAAACACCTGTTGAGTGGAGGAATGAGAGGTCCTTGCAATAAGCCCTGCTCATAATGATAAGAATACTAATAAGTGCTATATTTTATTGAGCATTTACTATGTGCTACGTACTGTTCTAAACACCAGGGGTGAATGATCTCGCATAAATCTCAGAATAACTCTTTGAGGCAAGTACTATTATTATCCTCATAATGATGAGGAAACTGAAGGTCGAAGAAGTGACGAGTTCAAGGACACATTGCTAGTAGTCCTTGGTCTCTCCGTTTCATCAGGCCAATTCCCCCCAAGCACTGGAACAGCTCTATCTTGTAAGAACTGGGAAGGGGAAACCTGAGTTCCAGGCCAAGGTTCTGCTATGGACTTCCTTTGTGATCTTGGGCAAGTCACTTTTCCTACATGGGCCTATTTTTTTCTCAACTGTAAACTAAGGGGTTTGGCAGCTGCCAAGACCCTTCCAGCTGGGACTTTCAGGGGCTTGTGAGTCAAAAGCACCCACTGTGGTTAGGAAGCTGAAAAGCAAACTTGAGGATGTGAATATTGATTCTAGCAGGGCCTCAGATTGAGTTCCTTGTGGGTTGTGCTTGGGTCTGGGACATCCCAGGATCCCAGTCCCTCAGTCAACATTGTCTGAATCGAGTTGTAACTATGGAGTCTGTCCCACATGTACACAGGCTTCCTACACCTGGCCTGTCCTCTCTCCCCCTGACCCTGCTCACCTCTTTCTTCTCCAGTTTGTTTCCTACATTCCCTGCACTGGAAAACAGCCAACACAAGGAACCTGAGGTCAGAGAATTTTGGGATCCCCATGGCGGACACAGCCAAAGGAAGTGGACACTCTGGTCTCCCCAGAGAAACATTTTTCCAGTGAGCAATGTCATTCCCTGGACAGGTCAGAGAAGACAAGTACAAGGGTTTTTCCCCTGAGTATTTCACTGCAAGGATCTTCACCCAACATTTTACACAAATTTTCTATTCTTACCACAGGGGTGGCTGAACAAACCGGTATTTTTGGATCTCTTCTGCCTTTTTTTCCCTTACTGGGGAAGAAAAATACCTTTTACATTCCTGGTAACAAGTTCCTCATCTCCTCCAACCCCACCCCAAATTAAAAAGCAAGAGAAACAACTCTATAATGTTTGTGAGAGAAAAAAAAAATCTGCAAAGGCATCTTTTTTTTTTTCTGCAACATTTTGGAGAAGTTATTTTCTTGTTTTTTGAAGTCCCAGCCCACAACTTCCCCTTATTATTATTTTTTATCTGAAAAGGCATCTTTTTTTTTTTTTTCTGCAACATTTTGGAGAAGTTATTTTCTTGTTTTTTGAAGTCCCAGCCCACAACTTTCCCTTATTATTATTTTTTAAATGTGAAAGGTCTTTCACCCCCGACTCTTTGAATGTGTGGAGGCTGGAAGCCCAGGCCCACGGGCACAGATTTTTTCTTACTAAGAATAAAAATTGAGGAAGCTCAGAGGCAGGAGCTCATGGGGGCAGAGATCATGCTAGTGCGGGGGACGGGGGCGCCTCATGGGGTGGGGAGTCCAGGAGTCCCTCATCTGTGGATTGCTGGCCACCTCTCTGGAATAGAAGCTCCAGGAGGCAGGGTCCTTGCTGGCATGTTCACTGCTCTATCATGTCCACCTTGGGGTCTGGCGCTCAGAGTAGTGGCTCAATAGTGAATAAATGAATGAGTGCGTGTGTGCCAAAGCTGTGTTCCTATCTGGTGGTCCCTGTGAGGGGAAGCAGGGCAGGAGGGCCAGGTGGGGTCTCAGGAGCTGCAGTGCCCAGGCAGGAAGGCCCTTTCCTCACCCCTGATCAGAAGCTCCCAGCGCATCCCCAGGAAGGTAGGCACTGCCTCCTCCAAGCAGTGATTGTGCAGGTCAGCATTTCTGTTCCCAGCTCCTTCAATGTCTCCTTTGAGAAGGGGCTACTTGGGGGTTTTAGGTATGGTGGCGGCCAGAGGGAAAGCGATTCCTGGACTTGAGAGGAGAGCTGTTTTCCAGATCAGGACTGGATCTGCAAATACTAGATGCAACTCATCTCGTGGAGCTTCCTGGCCTTTCTGGGGAGGGTAGAGAGACTGTATCCATTGTGGACTCCACTACCCCCTCCAAGGCAGGCACTCCCTGGGCACGGGTATGGAATGCCTCCTCCCATGGCTGGGCTTCCACCCATTGAGTCACCTAGTCCCGCTGCACTGTGGGTCCCTGGGGAGTGGGCCAGACACGAGGGACTGGAGGCCTGGCTGGCTCTTGTGGTCACCCCAGCCATGTGCTTCCCATTAGCTGCCCACACCCCGAGGAGGGGCAGTGGCAGGGCCATCCGTCACGTGTCTTGGCCTTGTGTCAGCACCACCCCTCCACTGTGGTTTGAGGAGAAGGCCATGGAAAGAGAGAGCCGAAGGGGCACTGGGGTGTGAGCATGGAGATGTGAAGTTGGGGAGAGGAGGGAGAACTTGGAGGCCAGAGGGGTGTTTTAAAGGGAAAGCAGAGGAGAGCCATGAGGTGTTACAGTGAGAAACAGGCAAGGGGAATTGAGGAGGGCTCAGGAGGGTTGTGGGAGCCTGAGAGACTGGGGGAGTCATGGAAGAGAGAGGTGGATTGACTCCTGGACAGAGTGAAGCATGGAGAGGAGATGCTGTGGATTGAATGTTCCCGCAAATTCATTGAAGCTTCAATTGTGTCCCTCAAAGTTCCAGGTAATGGAAACTTGGCCCCTGTATTAGTCCATTTCTGTTGTTTATAACAAAATACCTGGAACTGAGTAATTTGTAAGGGAATGAAACTTATTGCTTAGAGTTTCAGAAGCTGGGAAGTCCACAGTCCAGGAAACACAGCTGGTGAAGGCCTTGGTGGTGGTGACAGTGACCCAGGGATCTTGCATAGCAAAAAATGGTGGAGCAGAGAGAGAGACTAACCCCTCATGTGCTCTTCTTTTAAAGCCCTCAGAACCATGCCCTTAACCACCATTATTAATCCATTCACTATAGCATGGTCCTATAATCTAATCACCTCTTCAAGATCCCACCTTTCAATTGCCATAATAGGATTTCCTAACCTCCCAACAGTCACAGTGGAGGTCAAGTTTCTTTTTTTTTTTATATACTACTTTTATTTTATTTATTATTATTATTATTTTTTATTGTCTTTTTCGTGACCAGTAAGGGGATCGCAACCCTTGGTGTGGTGTCGCCCACACCGCGCTCAGCCAGTGAGTGCACGGGCCATTCCTATATAGGATCCGAACCCGCGGCGGGAGCGTCGCTGCGCTCCCAGCACCTCACTCTCCCAAGTGCGCCACGGACTCGGCCCTGGAGGTCAAGTTTCTAATGCACAAAATTTGGGGACACAATTCAAGCTTCAATGAGTTTGGGGGGTCACCAAATCCACTACAGCCCCCTCTGTGACATTGTTGAGAGAGTGGGGAATTCTATTGTGATGATTGAAAGGGGGGCCTTGAAGAGGTGGTTAGACTGTAGGACCACGCCTACAGTGGATCAGGAGCCTGGTACTGGGGGCTTTAAAAGGAGAGCACGTGAGAATCTCTTTCTCTGCTCCACTATTTCTGCCATTTGAGACCCCTGGGTCACTGTCACCACCACCAGATGTGTTCCCTGGACTTTGGGCTTCCCAGTCTCAGAAACTGTAAGCATATGTTTTGTTTTCTTCCAAATTACACAGTTCCAGGTATTTTGTTATAAGCAACTGAAACAGACTAATATTGGTACCAGGGAAGTGGGGTGTTGCTTATAACTGATACCTGAAAATGTGGAAGTGGCTTTGGAACTGGGTAATGGACAAAGGCTGGAGGAATTTGGAGGAACAGGCTAGAAAAAGCCTAACTAGTGGGAGTTTAAAACACAAGAAAACCAGGGAAAGCTTGGAACTTCTTAGAGAGTGGTTAAATGGTGGTGACCAGAATGCTGATAGAAATATGGACAGTAAAGGCCATTCTGAGAAGATCTCAGATGTAGATGAGAGAGGACTTACTGGAAACTAGGCAAAGATCACCCTTGCTATGAACTGGCAAGGAACTTAGCTGCATTCTGTTCATGCCCAAAAGCTTTATGGAATGTGGTACTTCAAGGCTTTGACACAGGGTATTTGGTGGAAGAAATTTCTAAGCAGCAAAACAGTCAGGAAGCTGCATGGCTACTTGCAACAGCTTGTGCTGAGTGGCACAAAATGCAGCAAAAGCATGACATAAAGCCAGAATTTATAATTAAAAGGGAAGCACAATGTAAAGATTTGGAAAATTTGATTATTAATCGTCTTGGAGTATTTTATAATATCTATAGTAATGATAACATTATTAAAATTCTTAGAAAGCTCATTTTGTTATGAAAACCACAAATTATGTAAAGGAGATACTCATGTGATAGAATAAGAAATAATTTAAATGTTATGCAACTTAAATTGCAATGTTGATGAAAAACTAAGATTCTTAATTGCTTTTATGACCAGATAAAGCACATCATTAACATGGAAGCCATTTATGGCTGATTATATTTTCATGCAAAACCTGTAATATTTGTAGGTAACAGAAGAAGAAATATGCCACTTCAAAATGTTCATCTTTTCTCATTTTGAAACCTGATGTGACACTTATAATGTTCTACTTAAGTGTATTCTATACTATAATATAAATTTTATAGACTTAATTCACAATGATGAAGAACTGCTTTTCTTTTAAATCATGATTTTTAAATGAGTGTCTTAGGTTAGTTATTTTAATTTAGGAAAAAGAAACAATTTGATTTCTAAAAAAAATGACTTGAAAAATATGCAGCCTGGCCATGTGGTAGAGAAGCAGAGAGCATTTTTAGAAGAAAAATCCAATGGTGCTAAGATTAGTACAAAGGAAAGAGGCTATCAAGAGAAGGGGGCAAGGCCCTGAAGGCATTGCACAAGCCTCTGAGGCCAGCCCTTCCATTACGGGCCCAGAGGCCTAGGGAGACAGAATGTTCTAAGGCATGAGGCACCTTCCACTGGCTTGCTGCCCAGGGCCACCTTGGGGTGCTGCTTCCACCAACAACATTCTAGCAGCTGCGTTTGCTGCTCTAGCTGTGGCTAAATTGGCCCCAGGTGTGGCTGGATCCACAGCTTTGAGAAATACAAGCTGGAAGCCTTGGCAGTGTCCATGTGGTGTTAAGTTTGCAGGCTTACAGAATGCCAGAGCTGTGGAGGCTTGGGAGCCTCCACCTTGATTTCAAAGGATGTATGGAAAAGCCTGGGGGCTCAGGAAGAGATCTGTCACAGGGGCGGAGTCACCGCATAGAGCCTTTGCTAGAACAATACCAAGAGGAAATGTGGGGTCAGAGTTGTAGCAGAAAAATCCCACCAAGGCCATGCCTAGTAGAGCCATGGGAACAGGACTGCCCTGAAGACCCCAGATCTATAGAGCTACCAGCATGCAACAGCAGCCTGGGAGAGCTGAAGCATAGCCTCAGACTAGGGAAGCCATAGGATCAGAGATGCCCCAGGACTTGAGTACCCAAACCCTGCACCAGTGCACAGAGGACATTGAACATGAAGTCAAGGTACATGATTTGCCACCTTTAAGATTTAATGCTTGCTCTGCTGGGTTTCGGAATTGTTTAAGACCTGTTACCCCTTTCTTTTGGCCTATTTCTCCCCTTTTGATTGGGAAATTGTACCCTATGCTTGCCCCTCCACTGTTTCTTGGCATTGTGTAATTTGTTTTGATTTCACAGATGGGACTTTGGACATCGGACCTTTTGAGTTGAAACAAGTCAAGACTTTGGGGATGGAATGAATATATTTGTATGTGAAAAGGACATAAGTTTTGGGGGGCCAGGGGTGGAATGCTGTGGATTGAATGTCCCCCACCAAACTCATTGACACTTAAATTGTGTCCCCCAAAGTTCCAGGTATTGGAAACTTGGCCCCCACTGTGACAGTGTCGAGAGAGTGGGAAGTCCTATTGTGATGACTGAAAGGTGGAGCTCTGAAGAGGTGATTAGATTGTGGGACCATGCTGTAGTGAATGGATTAATAATGGCAGTCAGGGGAGTGGTTCTGGGGACTTTAAAATGAGAGCATGTGAGAGACTCTCTCTCTCTTCTTCACCATTTCTGCCATGTGAGACCCCTGGGTCACTGTCACCACCACCAGATGTGTTCCCTGGACTGTGGACTTCCCAGCCTCAGAAACTGTAAGCAACAAATTTTGTTTTCTTACAAATCACCCAGTTCCAAGTATTTTGTTATAAGCCACAGAAACAGACGAATATAGGAGGCTTGTGGAGGATGAGAGACATGGGATCATGGAGGAAGGAGGGGGATTGTGGGATAGAGGAAATCATGGAGAAGACGCTGGGGGAGAGGAGGTTGTGGGAGCACGAGGGACATAGCGAGTCATGGAGAGAGCGGGATTTGGAGAAGTGTGGGCTGCAGGAGGGTCTTGAGAGAGATTCTGGGACCCACAGCCTGTGTGAGCCTCTCTCCTACAATGATATTTCCCTGCATCTTTCCCTTCAATAACACCTCTGAACAGCTGTCCCCCTTTCGAACCTTTGGCATCCTGCCATTCCATGTTTATCAGCCTTCATCTCTGCCAGCCTGCAAACCCCACATCTATTGTGTTCCAGGCTCTATCTCCAGAGCCCCACCCATGTGTCCAAGTTTGTCGAATGAACAAATGATGGAATCTCTGCAGGGTGACAATGGAAGTACAGCCATATTACACACTTGGACACTGAGGAGATGGAAGAGGTCCAAGAGGACAGAATCTTGCTGACTTCTGGCCTGATGCTCTTCCCTTACCCTCTGGCCCACAGCTTGGGGCATGTTGTAAAGCCTCACATCCTGAGCTCAGAGCCCCTGGGTGCTCAGAGCCCCTGGGCAGGGTGAGGAGGTACACGAGGGCAGTGGGGGGAAGCCTCCAGGAGCCTTTCACTGAGGCCTGACTGCATGTGCCCAGGCCAGGAGCAGGACCCATGCTGGACAGCATGCTTGGCCTCCCTCCCTCTGGCACACCTGCCGGGGCTGCCCGGGCAGAGAGGACCTGTTGCTTCATCCCTCACCTCAATGATGTAGTCTCTGCCATCCTTGCTGTGGACAGCCTTGACAGCACAGATGTCCAGGCCGCCAAACATTTCTGAGCAGCTGTCCACCCACAGCCTGTACCTGTGGGGATGGACAGAAAGATAGTGAGCATGGTGGGGGGGGGAGGAGCAGGGAGAGGGGGATGAGGGAGAGAGGGACTGAGGCAGAAAGACAAACAGGCATAAGAGATGTGACACATGTGGCTCCCAGACAGAGATGGGGAGAGTCAGAGATATAGAGAGACAGTGAGGGAGAGACAGAGAGAACATGAGAGAGCTAGGAAGGAAGAGAGAGAGGAAGGGCAATTGGGAGAAAGGATGAGAGTTGGGAGAGATCTCAGAGACCCCGCCCCACCCCTGCCCCACACCCAGGACCTTGCTGGCTCCACAGCAGTGGGGAGCTTGCCCTGTCCCCATCCAGAGCCCTCCCCTGCGGTCCTTTTCCCTTGGGAAAGCTTCTTGAAGGACTCCAGAAATCCCTCCTAGGCCGCCCTCCCAGCCCCAGAGCCTCAGCCAGACAAGAGCCCATGGGGGACAAAGGGTGCATTCTCCCTGAGCGTGGGGCTGGCTGGGGCATGCGGGCAGGGGAGCCTGGCAGGGTGCACCCGCCTGGCCCAGGGGCCTAGCCCTCTGGACCCGCTGCTTTTTTTCCCTTTCCAGCCACTTGATGGTTGCAAGGCCAGTTTGCTTTGCTGGGGACAGATCTCAGCCCTGGACTTTGGCCCTGCAACAAAGGGGGTAGTTGTATCTGGAGAAATCTTCCCGGCTTGCACTTGGCTCCCCTTGTGGGCTGAATTTGGGAGTCACAGGGGACTTTGTGTCAACATTCTTGCTTCTCTCCCCACTCTCCAGGGTCACATGGGGCACTGCTCTCAGATCTATTTGTGTCTCAGAGCCATAAGGCCTGGAATGAGGAGAGATCATGACTGAAGTGCTCTCAGAACCCCCTCTGTCATCTTATCCACCAATGCCCTCTGAGGCCCAGAGAGGGAGGGTGGCTTGCCAGGTCATACAGCAAGATAGGAGTAGAGCCAGGATTACCTGTGTGTCCTGGCTCCTAGTCCTGTTCTCTCATTCAGCTGTAGCAAGGAGCATGTGAGATCACAGAAACAAACGGAAGGATGGAAACTCAGCCATTGAGCTCCTACTATGTGCCAGGCATTCTGTGCCTGGAGGATTGACTTCTCATTCTCTCTAATCCCACCACAACTCTATCAGAAAGATTTTAACCTATTTTACTGATGAAGAAATTGAGGCTCGAAGAGATTAATAAGTGACTGTGTGGCTTCCAAATTCAGATCCTGTCTAATTCCAGATTCCGAGGCAGCCAGCCATCCTTCCCCTCAATCTGAGCTCCTCATGACCTGTCCATTATCACTTAGCATGGGAGACCGGGGATGGGTTCTTCCTATTAATTCCTCAATAATTTGGGAAGAGTCTCTCCCTCTTGCAGCCTCAGTTTCCTTATCTGTGAAATGGGAAGGCCTCGATGTGATTTTGGTTGTGCATTGGAACCACCAGGAGAGTTAAATAAACAAACACACAAATAAAAACATCACCCCTTGGGGATGACGTTTGGTCCTTGGAGCTCAGGAGTCCTCTGGGCTCTCTGGTCAGGGTCCCTGTATTAGGTAGCAGTGGCTGACTCATGGGGCACCACAGGCTAGGGAGAGCTGCGCTCTGGGATACCCCCATAAATCAGGTTTCTTCTCGACAGAAGGTAGAAGTCTGGAGCTAGGCCCAGAGGCAACTGGTTCCCAGAGGCTGTTTTCAAATGATGACTTCTGGGTCACCTATTGGCTCCACCCCATGGGGCACAGGCTGCCCAAGGCTAAGGAAGGGACTTCAAGGATAGAGCAGTGTGGGAGAGGCTGGAGAACATGGGGTCCCCACTCCCCTCCAGCCAGGTGGGACTAGCACCGACCAAGCTACATCTTTGGTTTTGCCCAGGAGTCAGGCTACCTGGCAAGCAGGTGAGCCAGGTGGAGGGAGGGGTCAGGGCCTTTTTATGGGTGCCCAGGAGTTTTCCCCTGTGGGGATGGGATTGGGGAGCTTTTCCTGGACCCTGGAGTACTGCCCATGACTGCATGAGGGAAAGTGAATTTCAGGCCTGAGCAGATCCACTCCCATGGTAGGTTCCTGCAGGGATGGCCCATGTGGCCTGGGACTCAGCAGAGCCAGGAAGATGGTGGCCTGCTGTGGGTATCTGTGAACAGCTTGGGAGGCACTGGGAAAGGCTAGGCCCACATTCTGGAAAGGCCATGGAGTAGAGGGCCATGATTGTCCCATGAACACCCACTGGGGGAGGGATGTGACTGCCTCAGAACATATGATTCAGTTGGGCCAGGGGATGAGCATGACCTCCATGAGACTAGTTAGCACAGGTGGATTCCCAGATTGAAGGCAGCAGCTGCCACGTGGGGTGGATGGGAAGGGAGGGTGCTCTCCCCTGCCATGGACTGGTGCTACTTTAGGTACTGCACATCCCTCTCTCATTCGGTCCTAACAATGGCACTCTGACGTGGGCAATATTGCCTTCATTTACAGTTGAAGAAGTTCAGAAGTGTTGGTTAATTTATCCCAGGTCACAGAGCTAGGAAAGGTTGGGGCCCCTCACTTTTGTTCATGCTGCTTCCTGAGCTTAGAGCCCTGGAATGGGAAGGTCCATGAGGGCAGGGACTATGTCCATCTTGTTTCCCACCATTTCCCCAGGGTCTAAGTCAATAACTGGCTCCCAATTGGTGCCAAACAGTTGACAGAGATAAATGCCAGCTCCTTCCAACTCCCACTCATTCTTTAAGATGTGATTCTGGCACCACTTCCTTCAGGAAGCTTTCCCTGACCTCTCCCCTCCCTAGTCTGCATTGGGTACCCCTCTCTGTGCCCCCACAGCAAGTGCCCGGGGCTCACTCCCCTGACATTACCACACTACGCTGTAATCGTCTGTCTCCCTCGTTAGCTGGGGAGCTGGGCGTGGAGTCTGTTGTTTCAGTCTGCACAGCATTTATTTCTCCTCCTACTAAAGACTTCCTGATATTCCTTAGCGTTATGTCCCTTCCTGAGTCTTGCTTGGTCATTGCTGCTCTGGAGGGGTGGTCCCACTCCAATATCTGGGGTTGGACATCTGTCATGGGCCTACCCGATCACAGCATTGGATAGTGATTGGTTCATAGTGATTGGTTCATGTGACCTACACGAGGGCCAATCAGTAACTAGGGCTCAATTCCAGGCTTTGGTTCAGATGGTAGAAGAGAGACATTTTCTTTCTGCTGGACCTGACACAGTGAGTATGTAAGCCTGGAGCCACCATGGGCCACCATGTGAGGAAGCCTGGCAGTATGAAGCCAGCACAGAACAGCTGACCTGAGGTGGGTAGAGAGGAGTCCTAAAGCCTTAGCTGATGCTGTACCTCTAGAGTTCTCAGCGACACGAGCCAGTAAATCCCCCTTTTTGCATAAACCAATTTTATTTGTGTTCTCACACTTGCAACTGATACAGAGTTCTTAGGGGGAAGGATTAAATCTTTTCATCCTTTAGTGCTCAGCACAGCATGGGATACAGTTGGTACTCAATAAATGTTTACTGAACAGAGCTTTCCGACCCCAAAGCCATGCTCTGTCCACTACTGTGGCATGCTTGCAAGCAGAGTTCACTGGGCATGCAGGAAAGAATGTGCATGTGTGGCCGGTCCTGAGGGCAGGTGGCCCGGCCCTTCTTCAAGTGAGGAAGGCACACAGTGGTGTTTAAAGGGAGAAAGACTTGAGGGGCCCTCAGCCAGATTGTACCTTTGAACCATTCATGATTCATGGGAAATCAACCCCTCCCTATTCATACTGAGACAGAAGTAAGTCTGAGGGAGGAGTGGATTCTCCAATACCCTGGTGCAAGGACGCTTCCTTGCTGCTGCTGTCAGTACAGGAGGGGCTGGGAAGGGCTCCCACCACGCTTCCCAGAGCAGCTGGGCAGGGCTGGGAGATGGAGTCAAGACATCAGGGTGCTACACTCTGCTCTGTCATTAATCAGCTTTGTGAAACCAGACAAATCCCTTCCCCTCTCTTAACTTTCTTCTCCCATCTGTAAAATGGGGTTATTTTAATACCTTCCCTGTGGGTTGTTGTGGGCAGTAAAGGTGATCATGCCTATAAGAGTGCTCTGTGGGTGGCAAGGCACTGGACAGAGGGCGAGGTGGCATTCTTTATGGGGCTCCTTGCTGTCTCCATCCCCCAGCTCCCATGGCTGGTACCTCTCCCTCCCTCTCTGTATCTTACCTCTCTGTCATGGCCACCTGCTCCAGCATGGCAGAGCCTGTGTTGGCCTTCCAGTTCCCAGAGATGGAGGTTCTCCTGCATCAGAACAAAAAAACACACTGAGGACATTAGGGACCCTGTCACCAATTTCCTTTCCTTCTTTGCTTTGGCTGTTAGGAGGCTCTGGTTCAAATATTTGGCTCACATTATGGTGTGTATTCTTTGGTACACACCCTGTCCGCAGCGTTATTTTCCTGTTTTTATTTCCCTTCATGCTGATTGCTTATTTATTTGTTGGATCTTACTTATTGTTTTCTAAGCCACCTTTGAAATTTAAAGGTTAGATTTTAAAAATCCCTACACTGTTAGATGAAATCCCCAAACGTTGACCTCCTGTTTATGAGGAGAACTAGAGCAGTGTAGCCCCTGGTGGTTCTGAAATTTTTCGAGGGCCCCAATATGTAGGAAAAATCATCCTTAGAGAGAAGCGATTACTTTTCCACCGTGAAGAGTGGGAAGGCTCTGGGCTCTGCCTGCCTCACCACTTTTCCCTGTTCCCTTGCCTTTTCTGCTCTAGCCACAACTGACCTCCCTTCCAGTGCTCTGCTGCCCACAGCTCTTTCCCTATGTTGCAGCCTCTTCTCTTTGTCCCCTACTGTCTTTGTCTCTTCGAATCCTCCTCATCCTTCAGGTTTCATGTGAAGTGTGACTTCCTGACAGTCCACCTTTCCCAACAAGAATAGACCGCCCTGCGTGACACCGACACTAATGATCAGTCATGCTCATCTCACTTGTCATTACAAGGACTGCTTTAGTGTCCTGTCTTCCCTGATGGAAGGGAAGCCCTGAGGGTGGGAGACATGTTTTATATCATGCCCTGTACCCCCAGCGTCCACTGGGACCCGGCATGCAGTAGGTGCCCAGTAGCTATCTAGTGGGTAAGGGGCTGTATATGCTGGGGGAGAACCCAGACAAACTGTCTATCACCAATGGCACATCTGGACTCAGGAAAGACTGAATTGACATAAAAATATGTCCTTCTTTTTTTTTTTTTTTACCTTTTTGTCTTTTTTACTGACCGGTAATGGGATCACAACCCTCGGTGTCATGCCCATACCGGGGACCGGCAACGGGATCGCAACCCTCGGTGTTGCGCCCGCACTGCGCTCAGCCAGTGAGCGGGAACCGGTCTCCACATGGGATCCAAACCCTTGGCGGGAGCGCCGCCGTGCTCCCAAGCGGCGCACTCTCCAGTGCGCCACCGGGCCAGCCCAAAAATATGTCCTTCTAAAATAGAAATCAAATGTGTAAATGCTGATAGTAGATGGTGGCCAATAGGAGCCATAGATACTAATGCGTGCAGCACCATTGATAAGCTCAATGTCAGTTTAGTTTAGTCTGGTTCACCTCAACTTAGTTCAATTCAATTTGGCAAACACTTCACAGGCCACCCTATATCCTAGGTACAAGACTAGTCTGAGAATGAGACCTCAGGCTGCTCACTACCTAGAAGGGTGGACTAGCCTAAAACCAGAGTATACGCGTGGTAGGCTTAGCAATAAACATAGAAGTGGAGCACTCCAGGGAAGTGAAGGAGAGACCAAAGTCACTTAATGTGACCCCAGAAGGTAGCCATTGAGATGTGCCTTGGAGAATGAGTAGAATTTGGCATAGTGGGATATTTATGGTGGTAAGAGGAGGTAAGAACTAACTAGAATCAGACAGATGTAAGTTTGAATCATGGTTCCAGCATTTTCTGGCTATATAACCATGGGCAACGTTTCTGAGTCTTTATTTCTTCATTGGTAAATGGGAATAATTATAGTACCATCTTTATAGAACATTGTGTGTATTAAAGATAATATGCACATAAATCTCCTAGCACAATGGGTGCTACTATTATTTTCAGGAGGTGGAGACAAGAAAATAAGGCATTCCAAGGGCAGAAGCAGCAGGAACACAAGCCAGGCTGCTTTCCTTCCAAGAGGGTAATGATAGTGAGAGCTGGTATGTAATGAGTGCGTCCTATGTCTGAGACAAGGCTCTAAGGGCTTTGTCAGTTACTGGCTCGCTTCAGCCTCACAAAACCTGAGACAGGCATTGTTATTATTATAGCTACTCAATGGACACAAAGAATGATTGTGTATTGTAATGATGAATAAGCTAACTATACTGATCTAACCATCACACGTTCTACACAATTATTAAAAATCAACGTTGTATCCCACATGTATGTATATAATAAAAAAAAATAGAAGTTGTATTACAGCTACTGATGTGGATTGAATGCTCCTCCCCCCCCAAAACTCAGTGAAGCTTGACCTCCATTGTAACAGTGTTAAGAGGGTGGGAAATCTAATTATGGTATTTGGAAGGAGGGGCCTTTAAGAGGTGACTGGATCTGAGGGCTGTGACCTAGTGAATGGATTGATCCATTCATGGAATAATGAGTTGATGATTTAATGGGTGGTCATGCACATGGTTCTGATGGCTTTATAAGAGGTGAGCAGGTTAGCTCTTTTGCTCAGCCCATTCTCACCATGTGACATCCTGGTAGCTATGGGACCCTGTGGAGAGTTCCCACCAAGAAGGCGGCTCTCGCCAGATGTTTCCCCTGGATCGTGGACTTCCCAGCCCCCCAAACTGTGGAAAAGTAAGCCTCTTTTCTTTATATGTTACCCAGTTTCAGGCATTTTGTTATAAACAACAGAAATGTAATAATACAGCTACCAAATCACGTCTGACAACCCACGCTCTTAACCATGACTTCCCATGGCAGATCCCACTGAGCTCACCACAGGTGTCGGGAAAGGGGTTGGTTGGCCCAAATGTGTGTGACGCAGCCACTGGAAAGTAGAATGGAATGTAGATTGTGACAAAAGCATCTACCTTTATTACAAATTGTCTTAGTTCATTCAGGCTGCCATAACAAAATACCATAGACTGGGTGGCTTATAAACAACAGAAATTTATCTCTCATGGCTGGGAAGTCCAACATCAAGGTAGTGGCAGATTCGGTGTCTGGTGAAGGCCTTCTGGTTCACAGGTGGCACCTTCTAGCTATGTCCTCATGTGGTAGAAGGAGCTATCTATCTCTGGGGCTTCTTTTGTAAGAATACTAATTCCAGGGGCCGGCCCCGTGGAGCACTGCTACAGTGCGCCGCTTGGGAGTGTGGTGGCGCTCCCGCCGAGGGTTCGGATCCCACATACAGACCGGCCGCTCACTGGCTGAGCGAGGTGCGGGCGCAACACTGAGGGTTGCGATCCGTTGCTGGTCACGAAAAAAGACAAAAAAAAAAAAAAAAAAGAATACTAATTCCATTCATGAGGGCTCATCCTGATCACCTTTGATCACCTCTCGAAGGCCCATCTCCTAGTACTGTCACCTTGGGGGTTAGAATTTCAACATGAATTTTTGGAGATGCAAACATTCAGACCATAGCACAGTGTGTGCAGTAATCTCATCGAAGGGGTGGGAGAAAAGGTGCTGATCTAAGTGACTTTGGACGTGAATGGAGACTGTATGACTAAAGACAAGAAACTGTACATAAGCACTGTGTGTAGTTGGTAAAGTTGTTTCCCATGGGACTACGGGTTAACAGTTCTGAAACTGTACACACATCTTGGAGTGGAACAAATAAGTAAATGGATGGTGGATGGCAAGAGCCAGGTTCTCTGCTGCAGTGGGAGGTTACAGACAAGTCATCAGGGACAGCTAAAGTGGGCCACATGGTACTGGCTGAAAGCTGGAGACATCAATATGAATCTGTTTAGCTTAATATAGATATGGATGGATATATATAGAGAAATAATTATTTGTACGTGTGGGTAAGGATACACACATATACTTCCTTGCCTTGTCTGCTAGGACCTAGAAAAAAATGACTCCCCAGTAGCAACAAGCACAAAGGCCCGAGTGCAGGTCAGGAAGTGAATGGTCAGGGTCAGGAGGGACACGCTAGGCTGAGGTCTGCCACGAATACCCTCCCTTGGATGTGGGCCAACCCAGGGTCCAGGAAACTCTATAACTAATGACAAATTGGAGCTGTCAGGCCAGAGAGGCTCAGCATAGAGAGTGTGGCAATGAGGTAATCCTCAAGAAAAGAAACTGGGACAAGGTGTCATCAATGTCAAGTGGAAACTCTTAACAATGAAGAGAGGAGGGAAATGATATCATGACAGATGGTGGGGGCCTGAGGAATGCACTGGACCACTGCACTGGAATGCGCCATGACCCCGAGGGGCAGGGAGGGGCTGATATTATCACCCCCAGGCATCTGAGAGCAGTGAGAGGTCTGGGCTGGCTGGAAGAGGGTGATGGACAAGACAGCGAAGAATCATTCCATGGGAACCAGCTCCATCCCTTTCCTGGGAACATTTTCTTCTAGGTCAACTGCCTGTATCTCCTCCAGTTTCTCGGGCAATGGCAGAATGCATTGGTTACAACAGAGACCGTATGGCTGCAAAGCCTAAAATCACCATCTAGCCCTTTATGGAAAGTTTGCTGACCCCTGATCTAGGTGATCCAGGTAGTGCAAAAGCAGCCACAGGCAATACATAAATGGATGTGCATGGCTGTGATCAACAGAACTTGATTTACAGAGACAGGTAGCAGCTGGATTGGGCCTGTGGGCTATGTTTGCTGACCCTCACCTAGAGCACAAGCTATACTGCACAGAAGCCTGTGGGCAGAGAGGCTTTCTAACCATCCAGGGCTCACCATTGCAGTCCTTAAACATGGAGCTGTGCACATAGTCAGTGCTCTATAAATGCCTTGTAACCAGGCAATGGTTGGCTCTGTGGGGTCTCATCATTTCAAGTGGAACCAACAGCAACATTCCAAAGTGAGAGACAGAGAGGCCTTGGAGCCGATAATACCCCTCCAAAGAATGAGGCCTTCCACCTATTCCAGAACTCCTGCTCATCCATATAACCACAGCCTCAATGGAATCCAGTCTGGGCTAAGACACATCTGGGGTGCAGGTGGGCTGTTTTTCCACCTGGCATTCATTTCTTTTCCTTTAGATACTGCAACTCTGTTTCCACTGGGTAATGACTCTGCCCCACTGCATGTCTTTGTGGTGGGACTCTCCATACTGGGTTTCTGCCTTTATCTAACAAGGAAGCACGTGATCAAAGTTGGACTAATCAGCACTATTTCCATGGAATCTCAAACTTGAGTTAAGCCCTGAAAATGATTACGTTAGGTTCATTTCCCAATGGAGGTGCCATGAAGATTGTCTATTATTTCTGGCTACCCAGATTCCTGGGGTTGCCCTGGATCCTAATACGAGTATTTCTGGAATTGATAATTTAGTGTTTTCCTTTTAAAAAAAAACATTACATTAGGTTAATGTAGTTTCTATTGCTTGCAGCCAGTGAAATCTGATGGAACCACCTAACTGGTTTTATTGGTTACAGAGAAACCTCTTTGCATCCCAGGGCCCTGGAGTCATCTTTTTATAACTGCAGTTCAGATCATGCCACTTCCCTGCTCAGAAGAGAACAGCAGAAAACCCAAAACCTCAGCAAGGCATTTATTTAAAGCCCCTTTTGATTTGTCTCCAGATGTCTCAGCCTCGACCCCTAGGACATACATCCTGCAGTCTCCCCAAATACGAGAAGCATCCTTCTTTCTTTGGGGAAAACAGCCCTTGTTTGAGTGGACAGAAATCTATCCTGAGATAAGCTGTGACAGAATATCCTGGCCGCACTAAGAGCTGAGGGCAGTAAGGAGACAGAAAGGGAGAATAATGAGGTGCTGAGGGAGGTCCCTGCCCTCGGATGGAGGAGGCAGTGGCAGGACACGCATCTCTCATCTCTGTTCCTCCCACACGCTCCTGCCACCCTCCCTCCCAGCTCCCCCAGCCCCTGCAACTCACATGTAAGCCTTGTAGTTGGATCCGATTTTCTGGATGCGGATGTCGTACTTGGAGTCAATGAAGGCCTCCGTGGTGGCGTAGGTTTTGGCCATGGCTACCACGCTGGTGATGTCCTGGTAGTCGTGCTGGTTTTCTACTTTGATCTGTGTGGGAGGGTGAGGGGGTAAGTGCCACCCACCCAGCATTCTCCAGGACCAAGTACTCCGTATTTAGAGACAAATGCCCTTGAGAGGGTCACCTGCTTAGCAAGGGAGACAGACACAGGAAACAAACCATTCCACTACACGTCTGTGCAAGGTGCAGAAGAGGAAGGGGCAATTCCATAGAAGAGGTGAGCAGGGTTTGGAAGAGTGACTATGTTTTTCAGATGGGGCCATCCTCCAGAGAGAGGCTGTGTAAAGGCACAGGCGCCAGGAAGGCAAGGGGCTGGACGGGGGTCATCAGGGAACCGATCATGGAGGGCCACCATAGCTCTGGCCAGGAGCTAGACATTTAGCTTGAAGGTTCTGGAAAGCCACTGGTAGAGGAAAGGATTTTAAACAAGGAAGTGTCTTAATTCGTGTTTTAGAAAAGTCACTCACGCAGTTGTGTAGAGGATCGAGTGAGGGTGTGATGTGGCATACAGAGAGACTGGCTAGAAAGAAGGAAGTTTGTGCAAGTGTGTGTGTGGGGTGTGCGTGTGTAGGGTATGTGCACGTGTGTGTGTGTAATTTGTGGGAGGTGTGTGCGTGTGGTGTTTAGTGTGTGGTGTGTTTGCGTGGGTTTGATGTACGTTGTATGTGTGGTATGTTTTTTGTGTGCTTATGTGGTGTGTGTGTGAGTGTGGTGTGGAGTGTATGGTGTGTAGTATGTAGTATATTTTTTTGTGTGTTTGTGTGGTGTGTGTGTTATGTGCAGTGTGCGGTGTATGTGTGTGTGGTGTGTTTGCTGTATGTGATGTGTGGAGTGTAGTACGTGGTGCTTGTGTGTACACAGTCTGTGTGTGTGCATGTGTGCATGTGAGCATGTACGCACTGGACAGACTTGCTTTGCTAGGCCAGAGGCCTAGGGGGAGAAACTCACACTGTTTACTGGGCTGGGGCCAGGAACACAGGGTGGTGTCCCGGGGTAAGGGAGAATTACCAGGAGAGCTTCCAAGGCCAAGTGCAGGGGATGAGGCCAAGGCTCTGTGATAGTGATCTCAAGACAGAACAGAGGCTGACTCCCAGCGGCTGTGGACAGCTGGGCGGGGCTGCTCCCTCCCGCTGGCCATGGGGCCCTGTTTGTTCAGGCCCCCTCCCCTCACCCAGACAGCAGAGGAGTTCTGATGCTGACCCCTCAGAGGGACCAGGTGCCAGGCAGTCCATGTGGGAGGGTGGAAAGGGTCTCCTCACATCCTTATGACCTCCCCTCTTAACCCTTTGCTGTCTGCCCTTTGAGTCTCTGTGCTACTCTAACGACCCCATTCCTCCATGATAGTGCTGCTTACATTTGCACCCACTTTAATGCTTACGAAGTGTCTTCACAGCTCTCCTGTGGGACACAGAACCGGATTGTGAGGTAGGCAGGCTAGGTATTCTCATGCTCATTTAACAGAAGAGGAAACAGATTTCTTAACTTGTTCAAGGCCATTAGCAGCTAAGCACAGAGCCAGGATGCAATACTGGACTCCAAAGGCACAGCTTTTCTTGGAAGCATCGCAGGGGATGTGTAGGTGCACGCCTGCTATTCTCTTGCAATGATGTGAATAAGCACCAGGAAAGAGGCTTGCCAAGACTTCTCTCTCCTCGGCTCTCTGACAGCCCCAGCCTCTCAGTGATGTGATGTGTGGTGTGTAGAGAAAATGATGCAGAGAAAATAAAGGTGAGCAGGCAAGTGTCCCCTATCTTCCACGCCTTTCCAAGCTCATCAGCTTTCCCACTTCTCCCTCCCAGCTGCAGGGGCAGTGGGGTGCTTCTTCCCTTTGTTTTAGGTCTTCCAAGGCTCTGACTGCTGGCTGTCCCCACTTCCTTTAGCATCAGGACCTCTAAGTTTTAGCTGGGCATCTGGTCTCTCAGCTAAAGATTACTTCGTTCCAGCCTCCTACAGGTAGATGTGGCCTAGTCTCCACGTAGACGTGCAGTGAGCAACCTCTGGGTGTGCCTAGAAGATGGAGGAAATCTTCCCTTTCCCTTCTTTGCCCTGGCTGAGACGTGGACATGATGGTGGGAGCAGGAGCAGCCACTTTAGACCACAAGATGAGAGCTTCATGTTGAGGATGGCAGAGTGGTAAGACGGAAGAACCTGGGTCCCCAACGCTGGAGCCCCCCATTAGCCTTTGACTGTGTATGCTCAGACTCTGACATGAGAGAGAAGTAAACTTTAATTTTGTTTAAGACACTGTTATTTTGGTCTTTGTTAAAGCAGCCACGCCATATTTCTGCCATTTACTTTAGTCTCTTGCTTTTCATGAATTCTTTATCCTTTGGATTAACACAGTCGAGTACCCACCATTCTCCTCCAAATCTGTCTGCTTTTCAGAACCTCAGTGACTCACCGGTCTCTGTCTCTGCTGGACGTCTCTGTCTCCGCTGGACGTCTCTGTCTCCGCTGGACGTCTCTCCATCCTCATTTACCACCTCCATCCTCATTTACCACTCACCCCTGAACCTGCTCTCTGCAGATCTCACTCCCCACCATTCCACCGAAACTGATTTGGCAAAGGTCACCTTTGACCTCCTCACTGGCAAATCCTGTGGAGCTCCTTTGGTCCTTGTCCTGTTTTTGCACTTGGTAGCGTATGAAATTGGTGAACTTTTTGAAATTTGGTTTCCACACCACTGTTCTCTCCCAGGCCTCTTCCTTTCTTTCTGGCAACTTCTTTGTGGCCTCTATTGCCTTCTCTTCCTCCAGTGCCCTTTGATGGTCCTGGAGTTTCATCCTCAGCCAATATTTAGGGTCAGAAAGAGGAAGTCAGAGTTACCAGAATGAAAGAATGAGGCAAGAGCTTGCAGGGACAGCTTGTCTGATTCACGGTCCTATCACTGGTGACTTTGGAAAAGACCAGAACTTCTGCACCTTGGTTTCCCACAGCAAGGCTGCCTTGGAGATGTCTAGCTGTCCACATCAGCCATTCTCCTCTGCTTCTACAGTCACAGAGCCCCCTGATCTGGGGGCACATGACCACCTGGCATAAACATTACACTTCCCCATCTCCCTGGCACCTTTGTACAACTACGTGACCACAGTCTGGCCAATGGGATGTGAGCAGAAGAGGGACATGAACTTCCAGGCTATGCTGTCACAGGGCAGAGGAGGGCTCTCCACTTCCCCCTTTTCTCTTCCCCACTGGCTGGAATGTAGACTGTCTTCGAGGGCGTGGCTGAGGGCAGCACACTAGGGATGAATGATCAATAAGATGGAAGGGGCCTGGGCCCATGAAACCGAGCAGGGTCCACCCCAGCGCTGGGCCACTTTGGCTCAGATCGTTAGCTGAGAGAGAAAGTCCAACCTCATTTAAGCCATTTTAAGTCTTTGTTATGGCAGCTGAACTTTATCGTAATTATACACGTCCTAAGTAAATATTTGCTAAAAGCATCACACAGTCTTTCACAGGGTAGACAAAAGAGAGAAAATACAAACACAGTGGTTTAATTAACTAATTAGTGGTCAGCCCAGCCTCCCTTTGGGAACCCTCCTCTCCTATCTTGGTCTGGGCCTCTATCCTGCCTTCTCCGAGACGGAGCAGATAACCCAGGCCTCTCACACACAGGCTCCTTCAAAGCTCAGGATGAACCCTGCCCAAATGTTCCTAGCAATCTTATGTTCTTTTCCTTGCAGAGGGCCTCCCAAATTTTATATGCCCAGGCTCCATAAAGCCCAGCTCTCCCTCCACCCATGATCCACAGTGTTTGTGTCCCCGTTAGACTGTGAGCTTCTCGAGCACAGGAACGAGTCATGTTCCCAGTCATAACACTGGTGCCTGGCATGTTGCAGATGCTCAAAGCAGATTTGCTGGACTGAATTTAAGAAGGCTGGATAAAAAACTGCCTGTAACTTGGGAGGCGAACAGGGGAATAGAAGGAAAAACAAAGGAGCTCAAAAAAAGGTGAAGCAAATGTGTTTCACGGCAACTTATCTTTTACAAGGTGAATTTTTCTGTAAATGCTTGGGCTGGATGCTACATGCTCAGAGGGGTATGGCTTCCAGCATGAGGCCTTGAGAACCTGATGAAGTCTGAGACCCTGGAGAAGGGGGCAGGTGGTCTGCAGCCTGGGGAAGGGAGTGCTGGAGGGGGATCTGGGATGGTCCTCGGGCCTGAAAGGGGAGGTGGGGTGAGAGGGCACTGAGGACAGCAGCTGGCCCAGGCAGGGAGTCCTGGCACTCTGCTTTATTTACTGGCTGGAACCCCCTCCAAGGGTTCACAAAGACAAGCTGAAAACAGGAAGCTGTAAATGAGCTGTGATTCAAGATTACCCATGTGCTGCTCTGGGCAGCTGTGATGGGGCCACCACGACTCCCAGACTCGATCTGCACCCACACTCTGGCCCTGCTCTCCCTCTACCCCCTCCTCTGGCTCTCTCCTTCTTTCCTCTCCCTTCCTCACCTTCTCTCCCTCTCCTCCTCCATCTTCTCATATTTTCTCTCCCATTTTTTCACTCCTCTGCCTTGTCTCTTCTCCTTTTCCTCTTTTAGTACCATCTCTCTCTTGTCTTTTTCCTTCCTCAGTTTCCCTTCGTTGCTGCTTCTCTTGTCTGTCTCCTTCTCTCCTTCAGTTTTCCTTGCCCCTTCTCAGCGTTGCCTCCTCTTGCTTTCTATTTCGTCTTCATCCCTTCTTCTCTGTCTCTCTTACCTCCTTCCCCTCCTCGTATCCCAACTTGGTTTCCTATACTCCGCTCCTCTCCTGCTTTCTGAATTGCTTTACCTCCCTTGTGTGCACGTGTGCACATGTGTGTGTGCACATGTGTGCTCTGTCCTGCGTGTAAGCAAGGAGGGGAAGTGGAAGCACACAGGCAGCGAAACTGGAGAGAGGAGTCGGGATACAAGTGAGTATCTTCTGAGTGGGATTTGGCTCAGAGGACTCCTATTCCAAATTCCAACCTGGATGGAAAGTCATTGACATCCTCAGTAGATTGTCCATTATTTGCTTGGATATCTCCAGTAACAGGGAGCTCACTATTGTGCT